ATGTTTCCTTTTTGTTGCCATGCAGTGATAAACACAGTGGTTTTACCAAGAAGATGATTAACAAGCTGATGTTCTTCTACAGGTTTTCTGTAAAGTGAAACAAGGTTTTCACAGGTCTTCCACTTTGTTTGCTTTGATGAATCTCTGCAGTGATTAAAAAACCTTCATATATATATATACCTTTAAGTACATATATACATATATATATATATATGAGAGTCATTATCCACCTTGAGAATGAAACCACTAGGTTTTCTCCTGAAAGCAATGAAGAGAAGAAAGAAGTGCATGAACCATCCACACAGTACATAAAACATCTTTCTGCAGAAGTTACTATAGTGAGAAAAATTTACATGTGTCAGCATTACTCACTGTGAGTAAGGGTTGCAGAACCAGGATGAAATGGAATTGCACCTGGCTTCTTATGGTGACAGCTTCTAACAAGTCTCTGGTAATAACAAATGGGGTGTAACTCACAATTTCATGAAGGGACAAGAAGGCTTTTTAGTCTATCTCATCTAGTTATATCACAACAGTGGGGTCTAGCTGGCAAATTCTCAGGAGAACAAGGATAGTAATCTGGGCTGAAAATCAGTAATTAAGTTTGGTTTAGATACAGGATTGGTAATAGCTTTAAAGGGTTTACTGAAGAAGAACTCGCAGCTGTTTTCTGAGTGTCCATGACAAAAAAAAAAAAATTAACAAAAAGGAAGAGCTGGAGAGAGAGGCAGAGCACCAGAAGTCATAGGAAAGGAAGGGAGAAATGACTTGTGTTAATGTTTTCCATGCTTTATAAAATTCAGTGCAAGCTTAAGGGCATTCCATGGCTTTGAGTTGAGTCAGCCAAGTCTCATGGTCTGGATGAGATTAATGATCATGACAATTCAGGCATGTTTAGTCCTTTTTCCTTTTTTAAGAGCTGTTATTAAACAATGTTGTCTTTCAGCAGCAGCAAATCATGTGGGTGTCATGGACAAATCATGGCCTGTCAGCCCTCAAAGACTGCCAACCTATAGGAGGGGGCAGTAGGGAAGGTTTGGGTGCCTGTTATGATTCTGCTCTGAGTCCACTCTGAATCAGCTCCTTTGAAACTTCATATGCACTGAGGGGATCAGTAATAGTCTGGCACACGATGTGGAGCCATAATGTAAGAACTCTGGAGTTTGATTTCCAGGTTCCCTGGCTGACTGCATAGTTCTGGTCAGTGTCCTCTGCATCTGTAGTTTGCCATATTTAAAATGTGGAAATTACTGCCTTCACAGAGGAGATGCTGGATTTATACAATGTGTTGAGACTATAAAACATTATGTGAGTTGTAGGCATCACTGTTATCCTTTTTTCATACTCACCGCTTCAAAAACATGTCTGCGCTGCAATAGTGTTGCAGACACTTTTAATAGCAGGTTTAGAAGATATAGTCAAAATAAGAACAAAGCTCTTCATCTCAACATTATTTTAGGGCAAAGTGCCAGCTAAGAGAATGGCCTCAAAACCAGTTTTGCAAATGAGATTGCCACATGTGTCCCTGGTGTTTCCTGGCCTGCCATATGATCTCACGCATTGCATGGATACGGCTTCCTGGGAGCCTCAGTCCTTCTGCAGTGCAGATGTTCAGAAACACGTGCACTGCGCCTGGTGCTTACCAGAAGCGTCCTGGTGTGCAGGATGTACAGTGTTGGGCCAAGCTCAGCATTTCCATAGGAAACATGCTTGTGCAGAGCTGTACCCTACAAGTAGTTCTGTTAAGCTTATTTGTGTAAATAAGCCTATTTATCCTCAGCAGTTGGAGGTTAGGGAACTGACTGCCTTAAAAAGTGATTCCAATAGTGACTGGATCTCTGGGTGGTAACAGCACCTATGTTATAATGTTTAAAAGCCATGAGTAGAATGAAGTTTGGTGACAACTGAATCAAATTCCCTTTAAACAGAAGTGAACTTCATTTAATGTTTCAGCGAATCTATTATAAGCTGCAGGATTCAAATGTAATCCAAAACAAGGGGATGTGGAAATCTGCCTTCATAGCAGAAGTTCTTCAGATATGAAAATGAAGTTGTTGGAAGAAATGTTGATGTTCCAAAAAAACCTAGTTCCAAAATCACTGAATTTGTTACTTCTAACTATACATCTTTGTGATATGACCTTAAAATATAATGTAATCTAGAGCTTCACAGAGTATGCTTATTTATTAGGAAACATCGACCTGTCTTGTTCTACAGGGGAGAGAGAAATAAAAGGGGAAAAGTAAAGAGAAGACCCATCTGAGTTATTTACGCTTAATATAGCTGCTCATTAGACAACTTCCCATATAATGTCAGGTTTCAAATCAGGAATATTTGGAGTAAAAGTCACTCAGGTGGCAGCAATGAGAGCGGCTCCATCTCATAATTGAAGCCATGGGCCACAACCATCTGCAGGGAGTAGCTCTTAGTTGTGCTGTCATGAGAAAATATCTGTTGGGATCTACAACACAAATGCCTGTTGAGTACATTTGTTGTGAGTTACAGGCACGTTGTGTTGACGGCTTTTGAGCATGTTGTGCTGAGGCTTCTGTTGCTGAGGCTGTCATTTTATGTTAATCTACTTGCTTCTCCTTAGACTGGGAAACTCAGACTTGTTGCGAAATACTAAGTCTTCCAGAGAAAAAAAGTACATTTGTTAGTGTTCTCTTCCTTCCGTACCAGCTCTTCATTCTTGCCTTAAAAACCTCTCGTGACATGGCTGTCATCAGAGAAAGTTTAATAAAACTATTTTTCTCTGGAAGAAAACATGTGCCAAAAAAGACGTTTTGAGAAAACATGTTAGACTTGCAGAAATTTTGTAAAACTAAAATTTGTGCTGCCTTGGTATTTTTGGATTACAAGTCATTAGAACTATTAATAAATGTTATCAATAAGATGTTATGTAACCTGGATCAATTTTGTACACATGAAGTGCTTTTCTCAGTGTATATAGTTCTGTGGTAATGGAGTGGGAGAGAGATTTCTGACATCCTTTTTGTGGAAATGCAGTCCAAGTAATGATAAGGATTAATTCTATTACCTACAGTAAAAACATTTAAGATTGGATGCACAGCTATTGTGCTCCTTTGGATGAGTTGCCACCAATACTACTGGATGCTACTTATCTTGTGCATGGTCGTTGTCTTCCGATAAGCTGCACAGTCTGGATTTAATCTGCTGTTTTATCTCCTTGATTGTTTCCTGTGATTGTTTCCCGTTACCTGTGGACAGGAGCATTCCTTGCTCCTTGTGAATATGTAGGAGCAGTGAGTAGATACACTGTAGATACAATAACCTCAGTTTGCCGGTGAACAAAAATAAGGGGAGAATGTGTACATCTTGATTACTATCATTAGCTTTCACATCTTAGCTTTAGACAAAGGTAGACCATCAAGCAAAAATGGTGTTAGGAAGGCTGCTGGCTATTCACATAGAATGTGTCAATGAAAAAGAGCATGAAGTGCATTTGAGATATTTTGGGAAAGCAGCTGTTGTATGGCATCTTCTATTTCAAATAGATGAGGCGGACACCCCCTTTTTCCCTTTTCTTGCACGTGGAATTCCAATTGAGATTATAAGTGATTCATGCTCCTCTCTTTGCTAGGAATATCAGGCCACTCCTATTAAGCATGCTCTGCAGTTGTCATTCTAGTCTGGAGTTGCTACCACACTTTTCTCTTGAGGGAAAGGTGGGGCAGGAACAAAGTTATTTCACGTTGCTTTGAAGCATCCTGATCTTTCCATGTTTTCTATATCGAAGTTATTATTATTTTTAACTCTTTCTTTACAGTTTTTGCTAAAATAAAAAAAAAAAAAAAAAAAAGGTCAACAAACAGATGTTCATATTTCCTCTCATTTTACTCAGACACAGACTTAGCTTTGATTACACAGTCTTTTCACTCTTCAGCTGTTGAACTGTGTAGGCAGCATCTTTCCAACAGAGAGGAGCGGATGGTAATCTCCTCAGAGCCTCCAACCCTTTTGCCTTTCATTCAGTGTCTGTAGTGACTTGAATGAGACATTCCCCTCCCGTAGGCTTTGCATGTACTGCTTATTCAGGGTGCAGGCCGGGAAATGAATTGCACAATAGAGCTATGGCACCCATGATATTATTTGAAACTTATTCATTACTTTATTCTCATACTGCTTGTCTTCTAAAGATAATTCCATGTGCAAACATACACAGTATTATTTGAAACTCACCTAATACACTTTTTACTACTAAAAAAACTTACTGCAGTATATATTGAAATTCTAACATGGGTTGACAATAGCATGTTTGTATTCAAGAGTGAGTTCAGAGTGCAGCAAGCAGAAGTCTTTCAAAATGAAGGGAAATGCTGTCAAAACTGAGGAACACGGAGCGAGAGGTTGGTTCATGTGTCCTCACACATTATGTATGGTCAAGGTTTCTCTTATTTGCTGGTAGAATAAGAAGAGCCTAAAGCTTGCCTTTCTGGGAGTATTTAACAGTGTTATGTTGTTCTAGTTCAGAATGTCTGTGCAGTTCTCTTCGGTTTCATATCAGGTAGATTCCCAGTGCAGTCTCCTGGCTTTAATAGGGTCACAATGAGATAAAGAAGAAACCTTATGATCATAAAGGTTTTGATTATACTATAATTTCATCTTTAAACGATTCTGCTTTGAATAAATATTTTCAAATGCATTAGAATATTAGTTTCTTCTTTTTTTTTTGCAGTAAAGTCTCAAAGATTTTCACAACATATTTGTATCTTCTGCATTGTTATTGTTGATGATAAAGCATGCTGTATTTGTGGACTTGCACTTTCGCATTTTTTGAAAGGTTGCCAAGCCCAAGGAAGAAAAATATAGAGAAAGTTATCTAATTTAAAGTGCCAAATCTCTTTCTAAATGAATTAATATCTGCTGTTTGCTGCTGGCTTGCATTGAAAGAGCTATACTTGAAAATAAATCAATTTCAGGTCCTCAGTGAAGCATCAAGTCCAACAATTTGTAATTTTCTTTTCTTTCAATCACAGAATTCAATGTAAGTTGCAGATATGGAGGAGTGTTTCATGTGGAGAAAAATGGTCGCTACAGTCTCACACGAACTGAAGCAATTGAGCTCTGTAGAGCTCTCAACAGTACCTTGGCAACACTGGAGCAATTTGAAAGAGCTCATGAACTTGGATTTGAAACGTGCAGGTAAAGAATTTGAGGGGAAAAAATATATATTGTGACAAGGCCATCCATAGTGTAATAATTACTGTTGTTGTTAATTAGATGGCCATGTCATTCCTGAAGTGAGTTATATTATGTGATGAGCAAACCGTCTTTCGGCACATGTACATTTGCACTGGGTTCTACAATAAGTCTTTGACTGCATATTCTTCTTACCAACTATCTTGAAGAAATCATGAACTCCTCCAGATAAAATGTAAAAATAGTAGAAGATTGAGAGCATAACAAGCCATTAAGGGTGATGTTCAGATCATCGCTGTGTCACTGGCTAATTAGTAAAGCAATTACATACAAAATATTTGTGATATTTAATGAACCTGATGTAGAGTCAATGGTACGCATAATGTGAGGAACTCTTTTTCCTGTCAGTCAACACAAAGAGCATCAAATAGCATTGTTGGGGAAAAATTACTGACTTCCAGTGAAGAACTGGTGACAGTGTTGGTACATTCTTAAATGATATGGATAGAGAAGTTTCAGAAAAAAAAAAAAAAAAAAAAAAAAAAAGGAAGAGAAAAAGATAGAAATACATTGTTAAGTAACTCAGTTACTCCTTATAATTAATGTTTTATGGGGAAACAAATGTGAATAATAGGAATTCCTTAGCTTAGCAAAATATACACAAAGGCATTGAAAGTTGATGATAATTTTGGCTTAAAAGACAAGTGTTGGAACAGATTCTTTGTCTCACCTAAGCTTCATCAAGTCTGCATATTTGCCCCAAAGATGACATCTAGCTCAGGGTAGTCCAGCGGTCTGTAAATAGGTCAGACTAGAAAATCATGTGGCATTGTTTTACAAAAGACCTAGTACATTATTGCACAAGTCAACCTAAACATTCAAATTCGAAAGAGACTGACCTGGGCAGTTGTAAATTTGAAGGGTTTTTTTGTGTTTTTTTTTTTTCTCTGATCACATAGCAGATTCATGTTGAGTAGCTTTTAACTGTATAAAAAATTAAAATAAACAGTAAATATTGAAGAATTGAATTCATTCACTGGCATAGAAAAGTTCTGTGTACATTTCCTCACAATTTTAGTTTGCATTCTTGAATTTATCATTGAACTTGTTCATATCTTAGCAAAGGACAAATTTGGATATGTAAGGCATGTAGATAGGGTTCTTCCCTCCCTCCCTGCCTGCCAGTCCTCCGACCCTCTTATTTGCTGATGCTGTGTCAGAAGTCCTTGTCAATAGAGCTAGGCTCTTATCGAGCTTGAGTAGGAGAGAAAAAATAATAGTATGAAACAGCTAAAATATGTGTGGAATGGTGAGTAAGCTGAATCAACAGATCATAAGAAAAGAAGGTGATTAACAGATTAAACATTGTCAACATCATAGGATTAGTTGGAAGTGGAGGTGAAGTAGTTCATAATTCTACCTACAACAGAATTTTAGAATTGCAATTAACTCTGTACATTATACATGCAACTGGAATAGAGCTCACAGATTAAAAAACTGCTAAGCTATGAAATGTATTTCTCCTGATGACTGTACATATTAAGAAGTAAAGCAAAAACCAGAATAAAGCCACAGTTTCATTACCATTCTTTCATCCCTTCAAGCTAAATACGTTGGAATTCATCAGGTGTTACAGGATTGCAAAATAGTACCAACATGTTGTGCATTCTGGAACTCTGTTAACCACAGTCTTCACTGAAATGTGCAAGCTCTGTACACAGTTGCCATATTTTTCCTCTGTAAGAAACAGTAGGAACGTGTGGATGAATGACTGGTGTATCTGAATATTTTACTAAGGTATCTGCATAGTAGAAACTTGTGTGTGTCTTGCAGTCACTCTCTAAATTTGATAGAGTACTGTAACACTGAGACCCAAACATTTTTGTATGAAATGGCACTGGGTAGAATGTTATGCTTAATGTAAAAAGTAGGGAAAAAGAAGCCAGACTATGGTGTCAGGTGATACATCCTCTCACTGAATGAAAAGCACATTTAGCTTTCTAGCCCCTCATTTTCACTGCTTTGCTGTGGATCCAATCATCTTAGCTAATGAAATCCTCAATTAAAATAGATTTAGCTGTGGACATTACATTACACGGGCTGGAGACTGATATAGCTACATGTGAGAGAAACATTCCCTGCATACAAAAATTATGCATAAATGCATGCACTGTTTTTTTTTAGGATGAAAATAATGGCTTATTTGTTTCTTCTTTACGTTTGAGATATCTTGAGTGTTTGTTATCTGCTGTTGCACATATATGATGTGCTTTCCTCTGTACTTCACAGGTATGGTTTTATAGTGGGGCATATTGTTATCCCACGAATCAATCCGTATCATCTTTGTGCATCGAATCATATAGGCATTTACAAACTTTCAGCAAATACAACTGGCCGGTATGATGCATATTGTTACAATGCAACAGGTATGTCTGTATGTTTATGATGTTTTGTATACAAATTAAATAACCATGACATGTAATTCTTATTTAAGGTGCTAGAATGAGGTATTCTACATTAAATAGAACCTATTTCTCAACTGAGAAATACATTTTGTCAGCCTCCGGAAGTGCATCTGTAGTATCAGCACACTTAATGATCTATCTCTGTGATTACGTACAATTTTAGAAATTTTCTGGGAAGTTTTCTGGATTGTCAGGTGAGGGACGAAATCAAACATCACCATCTCCAACTCTATCTAAAAGCACAGCAATTAGAAGAGGATCAAGTGATTTTTAGGAGTATAAAGCAAGCTTTCCAATAGGTTATTTTTAATAAGTCTTTCAGTCTAACTAATAGTGGTATATACAAGACTTTTTCGCATTTTCCTTAAATTAATATTTTCTATTTTCCTTCTTTTTCAGAATCAAGGAGCAAAGCATGCGAGCCAGTTGAAAGAATAGATACTTCTTTCCTCAGCAATCAGAGTGAAATAGGTATTGTACTTACCAGAAAGCCTTGCCATTTTTATTTATTTATTTATTTATTTCATTTTTTAGGATTTGGTTATCTTTTTTCCACATAAACAATTGTTTTTAAAGATCAAGACAACCAAGAAAAAGATGTATAGATATACTGTGGGTAGTTAAAACGATTAATCACTCATCTTCCTATAAATCATATGGGGCTTAGTTTGTCTCAAGATGTTAGAAGGCATGTTTTATTTGACATTTTTGAACAACAGAGCTGCTAATGTTTATTTAACCTAAAGGTCTTTGTTTAAGACAGCAACCCTTCAATATCTCATTTAAATTTCTGGTTAGAAGAGCAGCCAGAAGTGGGGGAAAATATTCATTCATAATAGATTACATTCTAATATTCCTGTTGACTTCACAGAAGCCAAGATCTTATGTTCAAACACAAACTGATCTGATTAAAATTTCAAATTATTTGAATCAGAGTAGCTGCCATATGTTTGACAGTTATGTATATTAAAACAGTAAGACGTTGCACATCCTTAAGCGATGATCTAGGTAGGTTGGATGGGATGAAAAAAAAACAGATGAACTGTTTATTTTCACTTCTTTGTTGTTCTAAGACACAGCTGTCTATCGTAATTGTAATGTAGCTGTGTACCTCTTGGTTATCAACAGCTGCCCTTTTTACTCTTTCCAACAGTTATTGACAATGAGGATGGCTCACGTTATAATGCAGATGGCACACGTCATAGTGGAGACTCCTCAACCTCAGGTGTGGATGATGAAAATTTAGGTAGTGGATCAATGCATGACACAACTCCAGGGGATACTTCTGTCAGGAGATCAACTCCTTCATATTATGGAAGTGTTACTCCTATCTCACATTTGCCAGATCATTCTTCTGGAGGAGGTGAAAAAGACCTGCATGTGAAAGAATACGGTAAGGACAATAGGATGCAACTATATCCCTTTTATAAAAACTGTGTGAAGAACTGCATTGTGAAGTAAATGATATCACGAGTGAAAGGGAAGCACTGTCTCTAATTTATATCACTGGGAAGTAAAAAGAAAAGTGTGTTTCTGGCTAAAAAAAAAAAAAAAAAAAAAAAAAAAAAAAAAAAAAAAAAAAAAAAGCAAACAAACAAACAAACAAAAAGCCCACACAGAAAATTATTGAATTTCTAATTTTTGTTTGTTTGTTTGTTTGTTTGTTTGCATGGGTGTACAAAGTAGCTATACATATGCATAGTTTGGAAACATCGACGTCTTCCCAGGACGTTGAGAATAGATGTCCTAGGAATTTGCTAATGTCCTTGATAAAATATTGATTTCAGTTGTAGAATCAAAAACATGTTTAGCAGTGAAAGCAGATAGGTTAGTGAGCCAATGCTTATGAATATCTAGAGATAGGATGACATATATTTATCCGTTCTCTAATAGAGTGGATTGATACTAAGTAATAAAAGGAATGGTATACAGTTCAAGTGACTTCGCTTTGCACAAATACAGGGATTTTTTAGAATGTCTTCTTACTACAGCATATTCACAACACATAAAGTGATAGAAGTTCAAATTAAAATGTAATATCTTCTTCCTTTAGGTGGTAGAATCATATTCTAATTTTCTGAAGTGTTACCAAATACAAATACTATACTCATTTCTAGGGCATTCAGCAGGGTGGAAAATCAGTGAATTAAGGTATCTTGCCTGCATTTTGCTTTCTTGTGAAGGTGCTGTATACTTAGTTTTGTTTTTTATGTTGCTTGTGTACTGGAAATGATCAGAAGTCTAAAATACCAGCTCCCGTTGAGCCTAAGGGAAACAAATATGCCTTAAGTACAGTGATGTTTACTATGTGACCTCTGGCCACAGGCTTTCTATCAAATCGCCAACAACTTACCAGTGAAGGATGCCAGTAGTCTACATCATCATCCTCTATTAATCCTGACATTTAAAAAAAATATAAACTAAAACATGGACATTATAAATTATATATATTAGAATTATAAAATAGCTTTTCATTGTATATTTCACAGTATATTAATGGAATCTTCTACTTGTTTTCCTATGTGATTCACATCATAAATGGTAAATCCTAACATTTTCTAACTGAGAAATTAGGACCAGAGCCGTTCTTCCGGGTGTATGCCATGTAGTTCAATTGCTAGCCATGACAATTCCTATTAGCTCTGCTTACTTACAGTTTAGTTCTTTAGGCTAAAGCTCAGAATATTTCTCAATAAAGAGGGGAGTACAAATAACATCACTTGCTGCTCTAGATTTCCTGTGCAGATGCCACACATGTACAGTCAGGGCTTTAATCGCACAAGAAAATCACTGATAGATAGTTCATTATCATTGTAATATATATACCTTTTGAAATTATTTATTTTGGTATTATCTTTGCTACGTTACTAAAATAAGAATATTTGAGTTTGAATTGTGTGAAAAACCTGTTCTGTATCTTCTCTTCAGTAAATGAAGGAACAAAGCTTTCAATATAGAATAATTGAAGTAGTTGTGAGTAATGAGTTACACCTCAGCTAATGAAATAGTAATGATTCATCCATTTCATGCAGGTTATGAAAGTTCCCCTACATCAACTGTTATCTTGGCAACAGCTGCTGATTTCCCCATAGAAGATGATGTGCAGCATCCTGCCAGTACTAGTAAGATTTGTGCATTATAATAACTATATCAATTAATTATTGCATTAAAACTGCTTTCTTTTTTCCAGCAGTGCATTCTGGTAAGTGGTATAATACACATTTTGTCCAATTTCAGAAGTACCCAAAAAGACACTACTTTCTGGACTGATTACATCATAAATAGACAGTGAAATGATTTTTTCACTTATTTAAAGAAATAAGGAGAACCAAAACACTTTTTCTTTCCTTCTGAGAGAAAAAAAAAATAAATAAATAAAAAGAAAAAAAAGAAGAAAAAAAAGTCTACTTCCCTAACTTACCAGAACTATTTACTCAAACAATAACTGTGACTGATTTTTTTCATCCATTTCTATTAGACACTCCTGTGCTCTGATGAATTTTTCCTTATGTTTCATGTGGAGCATACTCTGAAAAATCTCATTACTTACAAAAGGCTTTTGTCCATTCTTTGGCTGATTGGATAGGAAAGCATCTACATTGATATTTTATATATGGAAGGAAGCTGTAAATCCATATTTGTCACTCAAGTAAATATGTTCCTAACACTTGCTGTGGAGAGAAGGTAGGAGTGACTACAGCAAGTCAGATGACCATTCAAGGAGAAGTTGAATAAATGTGGGCATCAATAGTAGTTATGCTTCTACTGAATGTTTGCTACAAAATGCGCTGTACTTTAGTTTACCCACAGAAATTTGTGAAGTCAAGAACCAAAAATGATTCCATCATGCTGGAACAAGAACAACGACAACAACAAAACAAACAACTAGCCCCTCTAGTTCAAGAAAGTGAATTCAGATATTTCCAGAAACAATAACACTTAGGTAGGAATCAGATGATGGCTAATCAATGTATTAGTCATTTTACATCTCTCATATTATCTCCCACAACACAAACTCTACTAGCAGAACTCCTTTCTTAAATAACATACAGGGGATTCATCTCTTGAGGGATGCTATAGACAGAAGCTCAATCTATCTTGTTCAACAGTAAGCAATGTAAGGATGGTGTCAGAAAAATCTTTCCTCCATTAAATCATGTGTTAATTCCTCAGTATAATTTGAAGCTTGATTTGTAAAAGCTCTGCAGCTCTCTACTTCAATTATTTTCTTGTTGATAATTTTGATAATTTTGATCATATTTCCATTCAAGCCCCAGATAACTAATTTTTCGTTACTCAATTGCTCAGAGACCAGATTTTATAATGTTCAGATTTTCTGATCTTAAAAAAGGCAAGCCATCCTCTCCTCTTGCCCTGAAATGCCTGTAACTCAATTTGCACCTATTTTTAGTTTACTCAGTTTGAATTTTGTATCTAAAAAATTGCCTTTTAATTCTAATGGAATCTTTCTTATTAAATGAGTTTTTATGGCTTGGAGAAGAAGAGAAATCTTAAGTTTTTAAATTAACAGAATACAACCTGATCATGCTAGTTAAGTATTTTCATTTCAGATGGATGTATCTTCAGACCTCTTGGTTTACATAAAAGTCATCCAGGCACTTTGCCTGCACCACTTCTTCCACTTCTTCATTCAAAGTTGTTTTCACAATAGTCTTTTTTGAATCTTTTTAAATAGAAAACCTCACTTATCTGTAGATGGGTCCAGATGCAGCCCACAGAGTCAAATGAGAGAGACAGATTTCCATCGAACGTGTCTGGTAGTGCAGGAATTCCATATCTTCTTGTAAATGCTCACTGAGCATTTTATGTGGGGAAACTGAAGTTGTAATGACTGAATTTTAGCAGGACTGGCATTTCCAGAAGCCAGTGTTAATTTTTTCTTCACTAATATTGCATCCAGATTTATCTTACGCTCTTCCGTGTTCAAGCTACTTCTGTCAAACTATGAATTTGTGGCAATGAACAGATATGGAAAACAAAAACATAGATACATAGCATTTACACTGCTATGAGCATATCATCATTTGTGAATTTTTGTGCAGTATTTCTTAATTCTTCATGGATTAAGAGAAGCTTTTTCCTGAATGTATTTACATGCTTTTAAAACATTTTTGCTCAGCATCACAACAAAATTCTACCACACTACAGTGATCTGTTTCTGCACTTAGAAAGTGATGGTATCAGGTAAGCTCAATACTAATACTCCAGAAAATCCATCAGATTTGACTTCAGTGTTCATTATGTCTTTATCTAGTCTTCTTCACAACAGCTATACAGAAAACAACATGAATGGAGTTATTCAACTTCAGACTGTTGGAAACGCTGTGAGCTTGTAGATCATTTGTAATCTGTTTCTGTGTATGTATGTGCATACAACAATAAACCTTCTCATTAATTAAATTCTAGGGCATTTGTGATAACTTTGCACAGGTTTCTTACTGAGAAGTTATATCTTGCTTGAAGCATTTGTGGAATTTTCCATGTAATCATGTGTAATTCTGTATACACAAAATTGAAACATGACTACAGATGACATGAAAGAATGTATTAGCTCTCTTCTAACCAAAATATCCACACTGATTCAGAGTACATCTGTTGAAAATTGTTAACAATTGTAATTTTAAGTGCTGAGGATTTTTATGCATTACTGATCTACTTGTTTTTATTTTGGAGATTGAGCACTATGATCCTTTATTTCTGATGTCAGAGTCAGAGTAGTATTAGATACGAGTCAAAAGTAAGCACAAAAAGAGAAAACAATTATTCAGTCAGGTGCAGCTTGCCAGAAAGGCACAATTTGTATAGTTTTGGTGCCATAATTGCTACTCTTTGTAAAATTGCAGTTATAAGTCCTGGTGCTTAGTAATTAACAGTTAAGAAAACATAAATAATGATAAGCTGGATTTCTTGAGGAATTTCATTCTTGGCGTATGCATTTTTGTTAGCTTTGCATGCTTTTTGTCAAAAAGGAGTGTATTTCACACACAGTGCATATTTCAGAGCTGGTAATATAATCTTAAACTTCAGCAGAATGATTCAAACTTCACTTACACTAAAATGATTGGGTATTTTTGCTACTGGAGGAATGTAATGATACCCCAGGTTCATACATTCCCTTTGTGCTCACATCTCTCTCAGTGGCATGAGCATGCTCAGGGTGCTGGTGCTGGTGGATTTGGCTTAGCTGGAGAAAGTAAGCCTCTCAAGAAATAACAAGTTTTTGGTTCAATGAACCATATCCTAACAGCTCCAGAGCCTCATCGTGACAACCTGGAGAAAACCACCACCCAGTCATGGTGGAATCCATTTTCAGACCAGTGGTGGTGGTCATACCCCAGAGAGAAGACCCAAGAACCCACGCAGCCAACAAGGGGTAAAGAATGTCGTGCTAAGATGGTACTTTTTTTAAAAGGCTTAATGTCCAGTGAGCCAGGGCAGCAAGCTTCAGAAGCATTAATTGTAGGGTGTTTATAGTGGGCAGTATGTGTTGCTGCTTTTCTCTGTAATGTTTCTGAAGAGGAAAAATAAAACAATCATAGAATCATTAAGGCTGGAAATGACCCTCAAAGATCATCTAGTCCAGCCTTCAACCCATTATCACCACGCCCAGTGAACCATGTCCCAAAGTGCAACATCTACATGCTTCTTGAACATCTCCAAGGAATGTGACTCCATCACTTCCCTAGACAGCCTGTTGCATTGCATTACTACTCTCTTGGAAGAGACTTTTTTCTTTATTCCTAACATTCGAACTGAATCTCCTCTCGTTCAAATTGAGGCCATTACCTTTGTTCTATGAAAGTACAATATTCTTCCTCTGTGGTAGTATGTATGGTAGCAAAAGAGCATTTGTCCACATTATTAGTGAACTACATATCTGAGAGGGTTGAATATTTGAGATATTCTGTAAAGGATGTATTAGAGTCTTTAATTTTCTATCTTGAAGTCACTTTAGAATGAGATTATTTTAATGAGAATTGTACAAGAAATGAAGAGTGTGTTTTCGTGGCAGTACACTATACTCACTCTGATGGAACAAGACAGGTGCCCATTTGTGCTGTGACCTATAATTGGAGACAGAAACGTAGCCAACAACAACAGTGGGGTAGCTTCAGTAGGGCCATGGTAAGATAATGAATGTCTTGTGG